GCTGCTCTGTGCAGCTTCATTTCATCAGCTGCTCTGTGCAGCTTCATCTCATCAGCAGCTGCTCTTCAGTCTGTTTCGCTCCTCTTCATCAGTTTCAGCTGCACTCCCACTCAGTTCTCCTCTCAGTCGACCTGCTCTGGTTCAAATTAAAGGGTCGGACGTCAGACGTCCAGGTTTAACCTTCAAGCTGAGCAGAGCTGCCTACGTCATTTACCCAGAATGCATTGCAGCGTAAACAACATTGCGATGTCTGTGTGACATTAATTTACTCTGTCAGATGTTTTTGTCTTTTTTTTTTTATTCGTCAACAGAAACGTAAGGACATTTTACCACAGTTTAAATTTCCTTGTATTAGTTTGTAAAATTTTATTTTTGTTCAGTTATCGTCTCATTTGAAACCAAATGTTGTTGACGTAAAAAACAACGTTACCAAATGAACTAAGTGAAATAAACCCAAACATGGCAGCAGAACTTTTATAAAACCAGAAGAGGTTAACGTTTGAACTTTACCTTCTCAAAAGATGGCATCTGTCTCTGTGACGGACATCAGCTGTTCGCCTGGTCAGGTGTTAAAAGGTTCTGTTGGGCCCGGATCAGTAAAGACTGGCTGTAATCAGACAGAACCTGAAAAGTTCTGACGATGGAATCTGATCCAACGGTTTGTTTTCTGTTTCAGCTGCCAGCTCTGCGAGCGCTGAGGGTGAGTCGGTTCTGTCCAGTCTGTCGGATCCAGGTAAGACTTTGTGTCTCGTCTCTCCTGACGTTGTCCTCGTCCTCCATCAGACGGAACCGGCACCGGCAGAACGGCAACGAGCCCAGAGGAGAACCTGTGTAAGATCTGCATGGACTCGCCCATCGACTGCGTGCTGCTGGAGTGCGGTCACATGGTCACCTGCACCAAGTGTGGCAAGAGGATGAGCGAGTGTCCCATCTGCCGGCAGTACGTCATCCGGGCCGTGCACGTCTTCAGGTCCTGAAGGTACACCAGAACCAGCCTGAGCCCAAAGACCTCGAAGAGCATTCCCTCTTCTTATTACAAAACAATAAAAAAATAAACGGAATGCAAAGATGTACAGATTTGATAAACCCATATTTTATTCGCAATGAAACACCAGAATCACGTGGAGCCAAAGAAAAGCTTTAGATCTGAGGAACAAACAAGAATCTGAGGTCACGTCCCACCGGGAGGAGACCCAGAGGAAGACCCAGGACACGCTGGAGGGACTGTGTTTCTCAGCTGGCCTGGGAACGCCTTGGGATTCCCCCGGAGGAGCTGGACCAAGTGGCTGGGGAGAGGGAAGTCTGGGCCTCCCTACTTAGGCTGCTACCCCCACGACCCGACCCCAGATAAGCAGAAGAAAATGGATGGATGGATGGATGGATGAATTAATGTCTTCAACACGTCTGTTTAAAACTGTTCCAGGTCCAACAGTCTCTAAACATCCAGGACCTGAGGAGACCAGTTGTTGGTCTTTTTAGGAAATGTTGTCCCATTCTGGTCTGATGGAGGATTCTTGATGTTCAACAGTCCTGGACCTTCACTGCTGGATGGGAGCAGATGTTGTTCTCCACCCACCTCCACAGCCGCTGCCTCCACCTCATCAGGGAGGACTCCAAGGCATTCCCAGGCCAGCTGAGAGACACAGTCTGTCTAGCAGGTCCTGGGTCTCCTCCCAGTTGGACATGGCTGGAAACCCCGCTAGTGAGGCACCCAGGGGCGTCCTTACCAGATGTCTGAACCACCTCACCTGGTTCCTCTGGATGTTGAGGAGCAGCAGCTCCACTCAGAGTTGCTCCTGCAGCAGATGTTCTAAAACCTGTAGATACTTTTCTGCATTGATGGGGCCTTTCCAGATGTGCAAGCTGCCCATACCAGAGCTACTAATGCACCCCTATACCATCAGAGATTCTAAAACTGTTCCACTACTTTTAGACAGACTGGTGAACCTCTGCCCATCTTTACTTCTGACAGATTCAGCCTCTTGTTTTACACCCTGTCCTCAAATGTTCCTCCAGCTGTTTTTGATTTGTAACTTTTACTTTTTTCAGACGTGTTGCCCTCAAATTCAATTCACTTCAGTTTATTTATATCGTGCCAAATCACAACAAAGTTGTCTCAGGGGACTTTACAGAAACATTCACATAAAAGCCAATTAGTAAAGTTCTCTATCTAATGAATCCAGCAGACAAGTTGAATCTTGGCTTCGATGCAGTCTCCCATCCTGAGCAAGCACAGTGGCAACAGTGGAAAGAAAAACTCCCTTTTTAACAGGAAGAAACCTCCAGCAGAACCAGGCTCAGGACGAGCGGCCATCTGCTTTGACTGGCTGGTTGAGAGGACAGGAAGGAGAGACAGACGAACACAGAATGGTAGGTCCAGGTCCAGGTAGAGGTCCAGGTGTATCTGAAAGACAAAAAACACGTTAAGGATAGAAACAATAATTACAAATACAAAACGAGTTGAGCAGAGTAAGTAAAGACGGTAGCAGAGAGAAACTTGTGGTCAAAACTGATTTATTTCCCCTAAAACTGGTTTTATTTTATTTTTATTTTCAACATTTGACATGTTCCCTGTGCTCCATTGTGGATCAAATATGGGTTTATGAGATTTAAAAATCACTGCGTTCTGTTTTTATTTACGTTTTAGAGCACGTAATTAAATTGGAGGGAGTTGTAAAGTCTTTTGTTCCCAGTTTAACCGACCTCTGGATGGTTTCCTGTTCCTCCGCAGGGCCGACCGCCTCCAAAGCAACAAATCCGAAACAAAACTTTCAGAAGGGAACTTCTACAGAGACTCAGCGATTTCATCTTAACTACTTTTCTGGTGTAATTGAAGCGTTTGGACCTTCACTCTGCAGCGCTGCTGTGAAAACTGGTAATAAATCTGGAGACTTTTCCAGTTTCTGAAGCTCCGAAGTGACGGAGCAGGAACCCTCCAGCAGCTCGTCGGAGCTGGACTCACCGTGTTGCCTTCAACTCTCTGCAGAGGCCTTAGTTTGTTTACAACCTGCAGAGGAGACCTCAGCTCTCTGTGGTGCCTTCAGGATCATCTCATCCGGTTCAGGCTGATCAACAGAATTCTGACCAAACCCAGACCTCCATGTTGTGCTCAGGTTTTATCTCCGTGTTTCTCAACAGTCTGGAACTGCAGGAAACGCGTCGAGACGGCCTCACGCTGCTCAGACCTGGTTCTTTATCGGGCTGATTGAACTTACATGGTGTTAATTTCAGGTGTGAATGGAGATTTAAACCCATAAAAACCCACGGTAAGGTTTATGAGGCGATCTGAGCCCCTTTGATCCGTACACGTTTGTCCAGAGCCGAGCTGTAGGACCTCCACCTGGACTGACGTGATCCCACATCCCTGGATGTCTCAGGGTTAAAGAAAGTCCAGTCAGCTGCTGACTTAGGATCCAGTGCGTTTTGAATGAACCCTGTATCAGAAACCCAGAAATTTGTTTTATGGCTGATCGGACCCCGGCCGTACGGGCGGACTCCGAGTCGTTTGTTTTTCTGAAGGCAGCTGTCTGAGCTCGTGTTGTCGTTCAGCTGCAGCACAGTCCTGTCGGGAGTGGACACCGCTCACCGGTGGAGACCTGTTCAAACCGAGAAGGAACGAAGCTGCAGCGATTTCTGTCCAGGAGTTGGGAGCAGTTTCGTGTCCTTGTGGTCTCTGGGTGGTTACTGACCCAAACGTCGGCAGCAGCAGGTCTCACTCAATATTTCCTCAAAATCAATGTTCATTTTCCCGTTTGTGGTTGGACCCGCCGTCTTTCTGTCTGGTACGTCTTCGGTGCCGTCGTTTTAGATGGAAGGGGCAACAAAACCCTGGGTTCACCTGCTGAGTGGGTCTGGAGGACCACAGAAGACGAGCGAAACGATCAAATGTGTGTCTTAACAGAGCGAGCACAGAAGACGAGAACAATCTGTTCACGCCTTTAAGGAGACGTCTGACTGGACTGGGGGGACGCTGTTCATGAGGACGTCTCCAGGGCGTCTCCAGAATGTCTTCAGGGCATTTCAGAATGTCTTCAGGGTGTCTCCGGAATGTCTTCAGGGTGTCTCGGTGTCTCAGAATGCCTTCAGGGCGTCTCAGAATGTCTTCAGGGTGTCTTGGTGTCTCGGAATGTCTTCAGGGCATCTCAGAATGTCTTCAGGGTGTCTTGGCGTCTCAGAATGTCTTCAGGGCGTCTCAGAATGTCTTCAGGGTGTCTCGGTGTCTCAGAATGTCTTCAGGGTGTCTCTGTGTCTCAGAATGTCTTCAGGGCATCTCAGAATGTCTTCAGAGCGTCTCCAGAATGTCTTCAGGGCGTCTCTGTGTCTCAGAATGTCTTCAGGGCG